AATCCCCTAGCGATGAGGCTCTGCTACGTTTTAGTCCTTACTTGCAAAATCCTAGCGTGCATCAAGCTATGTTTACCGTGCATCATTCAAAAGACAAAATGCAACAGCTTTATCACACTGCCCATAAGAACAGTTCACCAACTGCCACCAAGACCTGCTGTGCATCTTTTCAACTGCTGCAGGTCAGAGACTCGCCTTTTGCTTTTAGAGCTGTAGCCTTATAAAGTATTTTGCTGCATGTTTATAAATAAAATCGTAGGTGATCAATATCACTACTGATTCCTAATGCACTGTTAAAACACAGGTCCAGAAGCAATAGCGCAGCCACCGACCGCCTCCTTTTTACAAATAACACCGCCAGCCATGATGGTAGTTAAGTCCCACTTGAAAACGGAGTCAGTCTAGGGCTGGATGCAGTTCCCAGCCACAGCCCAGCTTACCAAGCCCCACTTACCGGCTACAAACTTAACCATCCTAGACCACCGCTCTAGCAGAATACTTCCCGCTGCTGGGGCATTATTTCAAAGCACGCGTGGTCTCAGTCAGCAAGCATTCAGCCAAGCACGGGCAGGGAGACTTAGTGAGGCAACAAAACGGCAGCACCGGAGCTCAAATCATTTTTAGGGCAGCGTGCCGCTGGTATGGTCACAGGTTTGGGTCATCCTCCTGATACCGATCTCTGCAACAGGTATCCACCCTCAGTTCACTCTAATCTACAGCCTTACACGTCTACGGTGCTCTTTATCCAAATGTACCGCATTTCAAGGAGTTGCAGGTCTGCAAAACCACACCCCGTATCAACAAGATGGAAGATATTCAAGTGCTCTGCAACCTCACCAGAAGGCTCGTGTGGGGATTTTGAATGAGACCTGCATGTGTGGACTAGTTTAACCTTGCAGGAGTTTGTCTCTGAAAACACGTTAACAGGTAGGACTTTCCAAAGCACCCCATGGCGATCAAGTTGGAAGACAAATTCTTCAGAGTACTTTTCCAACTACGCGTGATGGTATGACTATAGAATCATAGAATGTTTTGGGTTGGAAGGGACCTTTAGAGGTCATCTGGTCCAACCCCCAGTCTATCCCTAGGGGATTCTTTTTAATAAACTGAGAACTACCAAGTTCAAACATGTCAGACCTACTGGAAATGAATCAATACTGCATCCATTATTGATCCTCTAGTGGCACGTAATGGATAGAAATACTGGAAAATATGATAGTCGTTTATCTGGGCAGCAGTGTTAGCTGACCTTAGAGGGAAATGCAACTAAGTGAGCATTCTACGCAAATGGTTAGATTTTTCTTTTAGAAAGAAAAACAAAAACTACATGAGTTAGTTACTATAAAGGTTTTCAATCCTTTCCACCTTTAAAGCCTCTTACCCAATATTAAATCATTACAAACCTAGCTTTCACAAGCAAATTCTCATTCTCTTTCTTTGTTAACCTGGCAGCTTGCACTATTCGGGTGTGAAAGCGAGCAAGAGGCCAGGCGGGTAAGGCAGAAGCCCCGCACTGGCTCTAACTTCCAACAGCGCCAGCCGAACGGCAGAGCCGGAGCAGAGGAGCGAGCCTGCGAGAGCGCAGCGTAAGCTACTCAGTTACTACGGCGATGAATGAGATATTTATATCTGGGCAGAAACGGCAAGGAGCGAAGAGCCGGGATGAGTCAGCCGGCGGGGTCCGGGCGGGAG